TCAGCTCTCAAGGGCATAGAAGAGGATTATAACTATGAAAGGATTATTTAGGACAAATTCTTCAGGACAGATACCAGACTGCAGTAAAGCACTTCATACAATGCCATGTGAGAAATGAGTTACACTGGAGACAAAGGCGACTACCACAAACTTGCAAGGTGAGAAAGAAATGATGGACTGAAGAACAAGCATCAGGCTGGAATGGTAGTTCCTAATGGAGTTTCTTGGTTGCGGGACTGACCTTGAGTAATGTTTTCATTAATGACCTTGAAGTAGAAAGGAAGAGCATACTAATGGAAACTACTGATGACACTGTCAATACAGAAGCTCAGAATCACATCCAGAACTGGCTAGTTTTGAGGACCAGGATAAGAAAAATGAAGTGAAACTTAGCAACATAAAATGCATGAATTCCTGCTATCAACCAGAAGCTCATCAGCTGGGAAAAGAGGAAGGCAGCCCTGAGTATTCCCACTGATCACAGGATGGTCTGAGCCATCAAAACAATGTAGCTGTGAAATAGGCAAACACAGTCCTAGGTTGCAAGTGATTTTCATTACAGACCAGGCATATTAGTACAAGGCAGGGGTGAGCCCTCATCTAGAATACTGTGCGCACTTCTGATCAGCAATACTCAAAAGAGGAATTCAGACTGAAAAATGTGCGGGGGAGGGCTATGGACAAGATCTTGGAAGAAGAGAGAAAAATCTTGGCTTGTTCAGCCTAGCCAAACAAAGAGAGAGGGAGTGCAACTGCTCTATGTAAATACATCAGGGGGCTCTCACCCGGGAGAGAGAAGAGTTATTTCAACAATATTGGTACAAAAACAAATGGGTATAAACTAGCCATGAAGAAGTTTAGGCTTGAAGCAGCTGTCTAGTCATCAGAGGAGTGAGGTTCTGGAATGCACCCCACCTCAACAAGAACAGAAGGAAGCACAAAAAAGAGAGATTGTTTTTAGCATACAGATTGAGCAGCTTATGAATGGAGTTGACGCTATGGTTGCTTGTGATAGCAAGGGACTCGAGTCAGTGACCCAGGAGGCCCTGCCTTCCGCTGTCACCATGCATTTACACAGTGCCTGATAGAATGAGACCCTTAGCAATGATATGGAACAAATCAAATAAAGTAAAAACCTAAATTTTCTTCACCCACTGTAACATAACAGACTAGAATGCATTAAAACCACCACCTTCCCCTCGTCATCTCCAATCTACTTCCCTTTTAACTGGAGAGCTGCAAGCAAAATATTTGATGCTAGCTCGGTTTCACCTTTCTAAAACGTTAACCTTCCCTGCATTCTCCAAGGAGAGGAGACTATAACAAAACACTCCCCTTAAATTCCAATCTCAGATTCTTATTGCATAAAACATTAATACCAGAGTTAAAGATTCTGAAGGAAATATCCTAGACATAACTGCTCTCTAAACAAAACATGAGAATGTGTGGTGCTGCGTCTGTCAAACAAATGCCTCCCTTGAGATCTACTTAAACAATTCTGTGCTATAATTACATTCATCAGGTACAGTGCATCTGCTCAGAGAAGTTCAATGATGCCTAACTGTTTGTCAAAAACTCCAGTGAAGCTAAGCTGTGCATCCAGGCAATGAATGTTAGGCTTTTATTTTTTTTTAAGAAACTTTATAATTTTGTTATGCTCAGGCTTGGATCTTTTCAAATCAACGGTATCAGTATACCATCTCACCTTTTTGGAGCAAGTAAAACACAGAAAGCCTACATAAAATATACATTAGTGTGGATGTTCCCTGTGACCTTTCTGGGGAATAGTGTTTATCAAGGACAGACGGGGGTGATGGCAGAAAGATTTTTTTTTGATCATGGCATTTCATTCTGCCAAGACAAAAATACAATGATAATAAAAGTGATGAATGAATGAATCCCTAATGGACTTTATCAAGAACACAGCAGGACGTTTACATGAAATAAGTTTTAATCACATCTCTAGCATCCTCAGGCACCACAAAGGAAAAAAGATTGTTAAACATAAAAATTATCTGACTTTAGTCTCCAGGGCTGTCAATCTTGCGCTTACTACAAAAAAAATTTTTTTAAATCACTTTAAAAATAAAAATTACTTCTGCATCTTAGACAGAACAAGATTAAAATGTCTTTTTCTATAACCTTATCAGATGATGAAGACTTGCTGTGTCTAAGATAAAGAAGGGCACCCAAGCAAAGTTATAAAGATGACATTAATTTGTTCAGGATGTTATTTTGGCTTCTAGGGGAAGATAAGCGAAGCGCGGGACTTCTACTAACAGAAAGCCTAGTCAGGTAGGTAAACACCACTTAATAGATAACACCACCCAAGAGAACTTTTCCCTCTAAAATTTAATAATCTTCTCTCACTCAGGTTCAAGTTTAGGAACAACTGCTTTGTATTGTGCCAAAGGCACTGCTGTTCTACATTGTTGATCAGAAAACGTAGGAATTCTGTGGTACAAATGTGCCAGCTGTCGGTTACCAGGGACTGAGATTTCCCTCTCCCCAGGCAGAGGAGTCAGCACAAACCTTCAGCTCCCCATCCCCAAGCCATGGAAGGGGCAAGACTGGTCTAACACACTGCTTTAGTTGCCCTTAAGCCCTAGATGGAAGACCATTTTTCTGCTGATCCTTTTCACTTGGGTACATTTCACCTTAAGAGACTGAATTGATGAGGAGCTCCTCGTTTAAGAAATGACTAGTTGCAGCTCAGTTGTAGCATTCCAAGCTATTCAGATTTTAAAGAATTCTCAACTGTCTGCATAACTCCAATGAGCGTTTGGGTTCAACACTCAGATTCCAGAGTTCAAACCAGCTACTGCATTGCCCCTGGTTACACCTATTTAGCTTGACTGACTTAACATACATTTCCCTGACAAGACGCCAGCATTCATGGCAATTAATTCAGCATCTCTTTCAAAGGCTATTGGGCACCATCTGCTGGTGAGTACCCAGGCAAACTGCTACTCAAAGGCTTGTTGTTCAGTGGGGTGATTTCCTCATCAAAGGCTTTCAAATTTTGAGTGACATTTTTTTTTTCATTAGACACTGGATCCAGGTAGCTGCCAGACATTTTTCCTCACCCTTATTTCTGAACCCTTAGAAGCAACAAGCAACTTTAATGTAACACTATATGGTAATAAGTGCTCTGCAACTTCAAAGCACTTTACAGAATATTAACTCATTTTCATAACAAGTCAAGACTGACTGCTACAGATTGGAACACAGGCTATGGTGCAAAGTCAGGAGACTGACAAATTTCACCACAGATCCTCTGACCCTTGCACCAAACTCAAGGAAGAGAGCCAACAGTAAATCAGAATTAGAACTCTGCCCACAAGGCCCAAATTAACTGATCAGAAAACAGGACAGTTAGAAACTATTGCTGGCACTGCAAAGGAAGACGTATCTTGTGATGGGTCCCATATACAGCAGGAAAGGCATGCAATTCCCTCACTCCCAAGCCAGGCAAAAGACCACGGCACGTTGAAGAAATGTACTTGAATATCTGTGCACAAGATGTTTATACCTGGGGTCCAGTCCCAGGCAGAGATTCATGAAAATTTACAGTAACTGCCACCAGGACAAACAGGCAAATAAATATTAAACAAAAAAGGAAGATGTTTAAGGAGAACTTGTTTTAGCATCAAATAATTGCTTTATTTTTTAATATAAAAATATACATTTACAAAGAAAATACAAACAAGCCTCTGACACAACATTACAAGAACACAAAGGGGGAAACTGGCATGAGGATGGAAGGGGGAGGGAGGGTCCTATTCCTGGGTCATTGAGTCATGATCAGCAAATCATGCAGCAAAAGCGTTTCTCCAAGTGGCTGTGCTACACGAAAGTCCATGTTCAAACCACTTGCCTCAAAAAACTTTGCCTTAGAGAGTTCAGGCCAATAAGCCACTTATCTCTGTGCTCATTTTTGGCCTTAACATTACTTTCCCTTACAATAACATCAATCTGCCTCCTGCTTTTACTTGCCATTTATAAGCTCCAGTGCCTCATCTTTGGTCCGTGTGATCTTTTCCTGCCTCCACGATGAGGGCCTTCTGGACTGGTTGTGTTTCACCAAAAGATGTGAACAGCGCACTTTGGCCGGCTCCCCCTGGCCATTTTTCCCACCTCCACTGGGGCGCTCCCATTGGCTGGCATTCGTAATATGGTTGAAGTAATACACGCGGCCTAGAAACAAAAGGGAAAAGAAAACCAGGTCTTTAGAAGATCTACAGCAATAGCCTCTTGTTTATCCCAGCAAATAAATTCTTGATTTCTGCAGATGGGTGAAAATGTGGATGTCAGCTCACTGCAGAATCAATGCAGGGGCTGGGAATACTCAACATCCCCATAATAACAGGCTGTCTCAGCATAACAGATTTCAGTCTATTAGAACTCTCTACCAAGGGTTTCTAGTGAGAGACAAAGATGCCCTGAGCAAAGCAGCTGTTCCACTCAAAAACCAGACTCTTCACACCATCTCCCTTTCCAAAGTTGGGCAAGTCATTTTTACTTCAGTGAAAGTGGGATCAGGGTCTATGTCAAAACTCTTGAAACCTTCCCAAAATAACACTTTGCAGCTTAAGTGCTGGCTGGCTCATTTGTAAAGCACTGATTATTCTTATGGAAGCAGCGAGTGCCTGCAGCTTTCCTGAGTCACATGACACCAACACATCTTCAGAAGCAGCACAGCGACATAGTGGAACTCTGCCCATTTTACCCCTGCAGCGAAGGTGAACGGTGCCGAGTTTCTGACACGGGGGGATTGTGTTTCACTCCAATCTAGCTTGCAACCGAGAGCATAAAGTATGGCAAAAATCCCTGTCTATTTAGACTGGGTTTTTGGTTGTAGCTGTGTTGGTCTAAGGTCATAGACAGGCAAGGTTCTTTGAGTAAATGTGGTATCTTTCATAATAAAAGATATCGCATCTACTCAAAGAACCTTGCCTGCTTATCTATTTAGACACATTTAGGGGGTAACAGTATCCTAGTAAATAGATCCTTCAGTTAACAGCACGCAGTTTTCAAAGCAGCAATCACCCCTAACTATGCTGGATGTTATACTAACAAGGGACCCCTGAACTGACCTTTGCAGGCTGGAACTGAAGAAAAACAAAACAAGTCAGGCCCTTCTTTATCAGGAAAGGGCAGGCTTTCCCAGAAGCAGCCAAGAGTTTGGGGACACTGGTCTGAGGTCAAGACAACTAAAGCAGTGTCCCAGCACTGCTGGAGCACCAGCTGTAAAGGGTCCCCAACCCGCAGGACAAGGGCCACTCATTCACATGTTGGCAGGAGCTCATGATCCTGACTAAACAAATTGTGGGCACTTCTGGCATCCCACGGACCTCTGGGGCACCGCAATCACTGGACAGAAACCCCAACAACGACCAGGTCCCTGTACACCCGGGGGGGAGCAAAAAGCAATTCTAGTCTCACCGCAACAGTGACAAACCTCTGCTTGGCAGGGGAGGGGCCTGGACCCCGCCGGGCTCCCAAAGGGGCTCCGGGATCAGCGCTCTCTTTCCAAAGCCGCCCCCCGCCCCCATGCTCGGGGCCCCACGACATGCCCCGGCCATGACAAATGCCCCTGCCCAGAACCTCTTCCCCCGCCCCTCCCCCCCACAAGGCGAGGGAAGGAGCGAAGCACCGCGGGTCCGGGCCCTGTCGGGGCCACGAAGGACAGCCCCATCAGGAGCGGCGCGGCCCGGCCCGGCCCGGCCCGGCAGCCCGACCCCGGCTCGCCCCCCCAAGCCCCGCAAGGGCCCAGGC